AGATAGATAGATAGATAGATAGATAGATAGATAGATAGATAGATAGATAGATACCTGTGGGATGGAGCGCTGGAGGCGGGACAGAGTGTATCTGTTGTACATGCTCTCACTGGTCCGGTTTTCGTACGGAATCAGGATCTGCACACAGAAACTCATTTTTCTTTGACCCTTCTGGCAAAAAAAGTGATGAATGGCCACCATATTTCAGAGCCGACGCTCCGGTTTTAATTAACGCGCGAGCCGCACAGACCCGTTTGATCATTCCCGTGCATAATGGATCATTTTTATTAGGCGGGATGTTTTTACATGGGCCAGTTTGGTCTCGAAAGCCAGAGCTTTTTCCATCTGGGTCTGGGCCGCTTTCTCCGGGGCGCCAAGCATCACGGCCACGTCCACCATCAGGCTGAGGAGCGCCGCGCGGTACTAAACACAAAACACACACAGAATCACATTAAATAAAATTAAATGATTAAATAAAATTAAATATAATTAAATAAAAATAAATAAAATTAAATTGATTGATTCTTTTAACCCTTTAAAGCCTGATCCAAGAATATTAAAAAAACAGAAAATTACTTTTTTTATTTATTTTTTTATTCGGCCTTTTAACAAAATGTGTAAAAAGAAAAAACAGACATATATATTCAATATTAATCATTTATTACTATGCGATAAGTCAAGATTATTTTTTGTGTAGTCTCCTGCCCCCTGTTATCAGGTGTATCTGATTGTGTATCTGATTGTGTCTTATACTCTACTTAATGTTCAAACGTTTTAAGTCTATCATTTGTCATTCTTTTCAAGGGTTTTTGTCTAATTGGAATTTATGTGAGTTGTATTTGTTTTATATTGTATTATTTAGTATAGAGTGGATTTGCTTTTGTTTTGAAGTTTAGAGAGAGCGCTTTTATTTTGAAGTCAAGAGGAGTCTTGTTTGAGCTCTCCTTAAGGATTTTTGCAGAAGTTAAGGCTAATAAGTTAACCCTTTAAAGCCTGATCCACGAATAAAACAAAACAGAAAAAAAAATTATTTTTTGTTTTAAGTCTTTGTTTGGCCTTTTAACAAAATATGTAACAACAAAAATGAATTTTTAATAATTATTTATTAATATGCGATCAGTCAAGATTATTTTTTGTGTAGTCTTCTGCCCCCTGTTATCAGGTGTATCTGATTGTGCAGAATAGGATTTTGAGCAAAGTTTTTACCATTAAATTATGCAAAAGGTGTCAGATGCAAAACATTTCAGAAACCGTATGTATCAAATATGATACATTTGGCATTACAGGGTTAAAAACTGCTTAGTATGAAACCTGCATTCAAATGCTCTTCTGCTACAGTTTCAGTTCATTAAATGTATGATTTTATCTAATTTATTTATAGAAAAATACTAAATTAATCTACAAAGAGAGAATATAACGTGTATTGTTGGATTCTTCTGAGAAGGGGAAGTAAGTTTTCAGAGACTTGACTGGTTTTATTTCCAGTCTGCATGCGTCAAGCTGCAGGAAAGAGATTTATTTCGGGAACGGGGAAGAGAAAAATGGGGCAGAAACTCACCATCTTAGCCGAGGAAGTGTTGGTGGTGTAGTCCTCCCTGGAGGGCAGAGACAAGGAAGCCTGATCGAGCTAAAGGAAGACGGATAGCTCGTGTCAGAGTGTGCTGCTCTGCAGAACGTTTGAGCGGAAATAAAGACTCGCCATCTTTCAAACGCAACCTGCTCACTGAACAACAAAAACAGAATGTTTCCTTCCATAAAACTCAGGCAGGTCGGATCTATTTAGTCCTGTTCAATGTGGGTTTAGGAAGTTTAAGAAGTCAAATCTGGAGGCCGAGATGTTCTCTGAAGAACTCTCAGAACACCTCAAAGACAGAGTATAAAATAAATTTCCATGAATTATTGAGGCTGATACCTATATTGCTAAAACACAACAATGTCAAAGTTAATATCAACTGAGCATCTCCAATTTTTCAAAGACCCTAACCCAGGAGATACCTCCACAGAGACAGAAACACCATCCAACTTAAAG